TGTAGACACCAGCTCGGGGCAGAACATCGCCCTCTCATGAAACTTCCGTGTAACCACCGCAACGGAATCAGTACCCTGCTTAAGGGTCAAGAACTCCTGGATCAATCGTTCCCTCTCCACTGGGGGAACGTACTCGTCCCTGAACATCTCAGTAAACCTCTCCCATGTCACCGCTGAAATCTCCGCCTGAGTGAAGTTCGCCGTCACGAACTTCCACCAATCCTTCGCCCCAGACGGAGCTGGTTCAAGGCGAACCGTACCCTCAGTGCTCCGGGCATGAGCAAGTATAGAAGCACCCCTCAATGTCGGCGATCCACCTCATCGCCGCAATCGGATCCTGCGTCCCATCGAACTCAGGGGGTTTCGTGTTGCTGAATTCCCGGAATAGCAACGAATCACCCCCTTGCGGCCTAGCAGCGGCCACAGCTGCGGTAGCGGCAGCGACTGCAGCTTCAGTCAGTGCGGCGTACCGCTCCTCAAACTCCTCCATCAGGGTGGTCTTAATGGACCCAAACATCTCCGGGATCTCAGCCCGAACCGCCGCAGCTACCTCCTCCTGAATCATCTGACGAATCTCCTCGTCACTCATACTGCTCGAACTCGCTCCGTGGCGTGTCGTAACCATGATGTCTCTGAAATACAACATAAAATTATCAGAGACTCCATCAAGTACATTTGTACTCGATAACGCAACCCTACTCAGTCTCCGATATCCAGGGATTCTTACTTGGGTCTTCCACCGACCCGGTGTCTTCGGTAGTACGGGCCCAATACTACCGACCACACCGTGTCAGTATTCGTCCCAAATCTTCCTCCCCAAACCCCGAATAGTGAGTACTCTACTTCTCGTATGCACTATCTACCTGCACGCTACCGAATATCTCATACAAGCAACTCCCTAGACTAAGGCATCACAAAACAGGCCATTCTAGTCCTATCATGTATACCTAGTCTTCTAGCATGCATAACAATTCATAATTCAATGCATAACATAACATTGTAAGGTATTCTGGGGATCTTTACCGTTCGGGCGCTGGCTGATCGTACACACTGCGTCTTTCTTGTTTACCACTTTACCATTTATAAAAGTTTATGTATTTATTATTTTTAAAAGATTTTTCCTCAAATCCTCGGTTTGAGTTCAGTTACACCCGAAGGTACACCCGAATCCCTCAAACCAAGGCTCTGATACCAATTGTAACAACGCAAATTTTCAAATAAATTTTTCATTTTAAATAAAGTGAGTTCATTCAACCAATAATTTTATTTCATGTTTCAAACAAATACATATGTAAAATCCCCAAGATCTCAAATAGCAGCAGTGTGTATGCATCATGCCGGCGCCTTCCCACGGTCCTCGCTAGTACCTGAAACACATACATAACAACTTGTAAGCATAAATGCTTAGTGAGTTCCCCAGTATACCACTTACACATATACGCCTTTCCAGGCCCGGACCTTCCGGTCCACAGTACAATGCCTTCCGGCCCATATGATAATCGCCTTCCGGCCCATAAGATAATTGCCTTCCGGCCCATAAGATAATTGCCTTCCGGCCCATAACATGATTGCCTTCCGGCCCATAAACATATATAACACATAATACATTTACTCTAACACATATATCACATATATCATATATCATACCTGACCTTCCTGTCACATAATACATTGCCTTCCGGCCCATAGAAACATACATAGCATGCATAGCAACTATTCCTTTCAATTATAGCATATATAAAACACATAACATATCCGACCTTCCGGTCACACAGTCAAACCCTTCCGGGTACAGTATAGTGAGAAGACTCACCTCGTAGTATGTAAACTATAAACTCTTGAAACCACTCGCACTCGGTCCGCCGATCTGCAGTCTCCCTATAATACCATATACCCTTATTAATAATCCTATCAAACAAGACAACTGACCCTACGAAATTACATGCAGGTCAACTCTGGTCAACGGTCAACTTGACCGGACTCGTCGAGTGCAAAGGCGACTCGGCGAGTCTAGACGTCCACCCCAATTTTCCCTGTTGTTCTCCTTTCTACTCGTCGAGTATCCCTCTTGACTCGACGAGGTCCACGTGGAAGAATCGCGGGGCCACCCCGACTCCACTCGCCGAGTCTGAAGAACAACTCGGCGAGTCCCAGTGAATCTTCAAGCTACTCGCCGAGTCTGCTCATCCGACTCGGCGAGTCCATGCCATGCAGTCGATCAACTGCTTCCTGAAACACGTATGATCCCGAAATACACACTCGTGGGACTATCTGGACCTCTAAACATCCTATTACTGGGGTATAAACACTTGGGTAACAACATAATAATCCATCTAATCATCAAATGGGTTCTATAAACCCTAACTCCATTTACACATCAATCACAGAAGAACAAAATCCGAGATATTACCTGATTGATGCACTTTCTGTGTCCCCAATCCTCAGAACGTGATTCTCTTGCTGTTCCTTTAGCTAAACCCTTCCTCTTCTAGTCTAACAAATCCTTCAAGTTTCCACTAGCCTTCACTCCTGCTCCAGATGCTCACAGACGTTTAGGTTATCCTCAATCGGCCAAAAGACGAGCAATGACGGCCCTAAAGACGTTATATACGATCCAGAATCAAACGGCTAGGGTTTCTGCTGAACAGCGTCGACTCGCCGAGTCCCTAATGGACTCGTCGAGTCCAGTCGCGAATCTGCGACCAAGTCCGTGGTCCTACTCGGTTGAGTCAGGCACCAACTCGCCGAGTCCCCTCCTAAAAATGCCCCAAAAATAGTTTTAAAGCAATACCTGAAATTCCGGGCTGTTACAAAATTACCAATTTATTGTTGCGCATCCAAGCATTGAAGTTAGAAATGTCAGACGAGTTTGGTTTTGGAAGAGATCCGTCAATGAATCCAGTCTTGTTCTTCACAGACAAAGCGATCTGCATTGCTTGACTCCACGAATTGTAATTTTCACCAGTGAGTAATTGCGAAACAAGAACAAATCCTAGACTGTCGGAATGATGAAGATAATATGGATGTGTTCTATCATCCATATGAGATAGAATAGATCCAGAACTAGAACCAGAATTGGTTGACATGATGAATCAACACAATCAATGAAGAACAGAGGAAATTTTTTTGATTAAAGAGTATATATCAATCAATCAAGAAAGAAAAGATTCAAGTAAGATCTTACGGAAACCTGATGCTTTGATACCATGTTACGTGAGAGAGAGAGAGAAAGAATCTTTTCATTAGAATCAAACGAATACAACTTTACCATCTATATACAGACATCTAACTACCACAACTAACTGAAATGATAAATTACAGAATTGACCCTCAACTATAACATAAATAGCTTTCTATATCTAATATATATATATATATATATATATATATATATATATATATATATATATATATATATATATATATATATATATATATATATATATATGGGTAAAGTGAATATACCTAATAACCTTATATAAGCTTAGGTACCTAACTCCATAATACTGCATCAGTTTGTATCATATTCACATTGTAATTGCCTAAGATTCTTAAACTTCAACCGCATAACTTGATTACTTCCAAAATCTTTGAACTTTCACCAATATCTTTCTTTTACATGACACTTGGGTTGTGGTGACTTGGTAAGGCATGTGGAAGATATGGTGGATAACCTATTGACCCATGTTCAAATCCTGGCACTACTAAGCCCTTGTGGCCATGGAGGTTCGCCTGCAGTGACTCCAGGGCATGAGGCAAAGCCTCATGTTTGCAGCGGGGGATTAGTCGGTGCGCGAAAGCTGGCCCGGAAACCCTCGTTAGGGAAATTCCCTTTCCAAAAAAAAAAATCCTACCGCTACAAATGAAAGGATGTACGAGAAATATAATGAAGAATTTCCAAATTTTTTTGAAGTAAATCAAGTTTAGGGATTAAGTTTAAGAACATTTGATGATTCCAATGAAAATTTAATGCAAAATGACGTAGTTTGATGAGGTTAGGTACCTAAGCTTATATAAGGTTGTTAGGTATATTCACTTTACCTTATATATATATATATATATATATATATATATATATATATATATATATATATATATTATATATATATATATATATATATATATATATATATATATATATATATATATATATATATATATATATACACACCTTAATTTTGTGTGGATGGATCAATACCCAATCTTGCTCTATATTTGGCTACCCTGTGTTTTATTGTTTTTTATCTCATTTACATGGGAGGTTTAATCCAATAGAAAAGAATCGAGAACATTCCATGATTTTCGAAAGACGCAATTTCTAAGCCATGAACAATCCACGGCTATTCACAATTGGTGTGATAAATTCGTATGAGTCACTTTCGACATTATAGTTAGATATGCACGTGGACGTATTCTATTGGTCATTTTTATATTATACGTATGTAATATCGCGTCATTTTCTATATATAAATCTGTTTGCGTCATTTTTTATATATTATTTATTATAAAAGACCATGGACATGTTGTATAGGTTGAACAAGAATTGAAATGGTCATAACACCACTTCTAGATGGCAATCTTAATTATCTCCATATGACATGGAGCAAATTTCTAGGAAAATGCTGCGGTGCGATGGAAACTATTGTAGACGATCTCATTTTTGATACCGCATTGACTGAAAAGTTTTAAAAATCATACTTCAAATGGAGTCCTCACGAAGATGCATGGCAAGTTTCTCTTAATAAACAAATTTAATTCATTAGACTAGGATTTGCTTGGCATAGACATGCCCACGTCCCACACATGCATAAAACGGCACGGGTTGACTGACTTGAGTCTTGGTATGAGTTTCACTACGGCAGTTGAGTTGAGGATGGTTCTTTGGTTATATATCCATGTTAATTGTGAAGAACAACCACCTACAAACATTAAAGGGTCAAACTTAAATTTGTAGCAAGTTTCTGAATTTGGGTACAACCAGCCACAAATCAAGTGACGGGATGTATCTGGGATTTGTTATTTTAGCTTTTTTTATATGTTTATTTTTTTTGACGCTTCCGCCAACTCTTGCTCTAATACTGTCTATTATTTTAGTTGTGTTGACTATTGTTGTTGCACTTGTTTCTTTGGTGATTATAAAGAGGAATAAAAAGACACGAGAAGTGAAGGACCTTAGATCTGTTGTGGAGACTAAGGATGTGGAGAAACTTGGATCCGGTTTGGAGACCGATAGTGTATTTGAAATGGGCACCGGGCCTAGAAGATTCTCTTACGCTGAATTAGCTCAGTCAACTCGTGGCTTCGATGGGAAAGAGAAGCTTGGAGAGGGAGGTTTTGGAGAGGTTTACAAAGGTTTTATGGAAAATTCAGGGAAGTATGTTGCAGTGAAAAGGTTGTCAAAAAAATCCGACCAGGGGCCTAAAGAGTTTGCAACAGAAATAAACATCATTAGCCGATTGAGCCACAAAAATCTGGTGAAGCTCACTGGATGGTGCCACGAGAAAGGAGAACTCATGCTTGTTTACGAGTTCATGGAGAACGGAAGCTTAGATTTGCATCTCTTCAAGGAAAAGAGATTGTTGACATGGGCCACAAGGTACAAAATAGCGCGCGGCTTAGCCACTGCTTTGTTGTATCTACATGAAGACTGGGAGCAATGTGTTTTGCATCGAGATATCAAATCGAGTAACGTGATGTTGGACTCAAATTTCAACACCAAGCTTGGCGATTTCGGGTTAGCTAAGTTGGTTGACCACGAAAAAGGCTCAAAGACATTAACCATGATGGCTGGAACCTTGGGTTACATGGCTCCTGAAATTGTAGTTACTGGCAAGGCAACCAGAGAATCCGATGTATTTAGCTTTGGAGTCGTTGCATTGGAAATAGCTTGTGGGAGAAAACCCATCGTATATAGTGCTCAAGAAAACCAAATTCGGTTAGTAGAATGGGTTTGGGAGCTCTATGGGGCTGGGACTCTGTTAGAAGCAACAGATCCACGGCTAGGATCAGATTATGTGGAAGAACAGATCAAGCGTTTGATGATTGTTGGGTTATGGTGTGCGCACCCTGATTCACATCTCCGCCCATCAATGAGACAAGTTACTCATGTACTCATTTCCGAAGCTTCCATGCCCTTTCTCCCCACAAAGATGCCGGCGGCCTCTTACTAGTCTTCCACCACATGTTATTTTCACTTGGTGTTGCTACTATTATCCAAAACCATTCATCAAGCAGTGTATCTCTCACCAGTTCCTGTATCTAAACAACATGGTCGACAAATCGCCAAGTGGTGTAGCATTATTATAAGTGTCTCAGATTACAAATTTGGTTCTTGTGCTTTACACAAAACAGCAAGTGTTTAGTGTTGTCTAATTTTTTATATGTTCCCACTATTTCGATTGTCTTTCCATTTTTGTTTCAGATTCAGCCCCTCTCATTAAAACCATTAAATATGGTTGATAAATATTTATCAGATTACCATTTTACCAACCTTTATTCTTTTTGTTATGTTTTTTTATTTTGTGTTTGTCCTTTTGAAACCGGCTATTTTGTTGGGGTTGAAACACACTTTTATTCAGAACTAGAACAAAACGAGGAGCTTACTAGCTCAATATTACAAGAAAAGAAAACAATCCTCTCACTCAATTTAAGTATTACTCTCACACTCTCTGTTTTGTGGTGTTTGTTTTGTGGTGTTCTACAACTGAAGTTAGAGTTTTTATTTATACCTAAACAAGCCTACAATTACTACTGTTACCATTTATTGCATTTATTATGTGAACATACAAAGCTGCCATTTTTATGTCAACAAAGGAAGCATTCACATGTCAAAAGAAGAGGGTGGTGTAGTTACTCATGTCAGCTTCACACCCAAGTTAGGTTTACTTTCACATTCTCCACCTTAAACCAAACTTGGCTCGATATTCGTCACACTGATCATGTTTCGCATTTAACTATGTTTCACGTATGCTAAAGCCTTTGTAAAGATGTCTGCCCGTTGATCCTTCGAGTTGACATATTCCACTATAATTTGCCCATGTTCAACACATTCTCGTATGAAGTGATAGCAAATGTCAATGTGTTTGCTTCGACCATGAAACATGAGGTTTTTAATCATTACGATTGCTGACTTGCTATCGACATATAAGGTGATAGGCATGATATGATGTCCCGGGAGCTCGTTTACGAGATTAGCAAGCCAAATGGCTTAACATGCTGCTTTTGTAGCTGCCATGAACTCGACTTCACAGGTGGACAAAGCAACAATCATTTGCTTTTGGGATTGCCAAGTTATCACATTCCTTCCTAGATAGAAAATAATTCCCTTGTGCTCTTGCAATCAACAGGGTAACCTCCAAAATCACTATCGGTAACACCAATTAAATCTTCAATTTCACGAGCTCTTCCATAGTTGATTCCATAATCAACGGTTCCTTTCACATACCGTAAGATGTGTTTCACAACTTGGAAGTGCAAAGTGGTCGGTTCCTCCATGAAACGACTTGCAATACCAACCGAAAATGACAACTTCGGTCGAGTGTGAGTCAAATACCATAAACAACCTACCACTCCCTTATATTCGGTTGGGTCAACTTTTTCACCATCTTCATCCTTCTTAACCTTCAACCTACGTTCCATTGATGACGTTCTCGGATTGCAATCCAGTAGCCTAAATTGCTCAAAATTCTTCTGTAAGGTCCTGAAACGGATCTTACTAGTGATCAAATAGCAAACACAATCAATTAACAATAAAGACCAAGTAGAATTGAGAATGAACAAGCTTGCACAAACTTTTCTATTAGGAATAACGTATGGTACAACTTGTGGTTACATCAGCAGTGAACTCTGAGGCATCAACAACTATAAAAGACCTAGCACACCACTATATATACTGGACCTGGGCCGGCTTTGGGTTTACGGCCGTAAACTCATGTTGGGCCGTAAACTACATACAATCTACCACAAGCTATAAATTAACTCAAATGAACCTATTACATAGAAAGCCTAGACCAAACCACTAATTAGACCCTTCAATCTCCCCCTTGGTTTGGTGCTAGCTTGAAGTCAATCTTTGTCCACGATCATCACATCATCCAGCCCCATAGCTCCTTTCCACATCTGATTGTTTATAATCTCAGCAACCATAGTGGTGTATTCTTTTGCGGCAGACTCAAATATCTCCTCAATAACTTGAATCTGAAAATGGCTCAAATGATGAATGTCCCATTTTCTAAATTGGGACAAATCCCTTCTGTCATACAAACAAATGCACCTCTCCTTTAGTTTAATGACAATAGATGTTGTGGTTTCATCAAACACCCAGTAAAGCATAGAGCTTAAGGATCCATCTGGGTAATCTTGAAGCACGGGAATTTGTGTGACCTGATTTGTAGCAGGCCACATCACCACCTAGAGCGGATTACCAGTTTTGGGATCAATGACGTCAGGATGATCCATTATCACAGATTCAACAGTCTTCATAGCCGAAAAACCTTTCTTTAATTGATCTTCCAGAAAGTGCTTGAAGTTAGTTGCTTGCTGATTATCTGTCGAGTTAGAAAATGGAGATTGAGATAGTTCTGAAAGATCCACCCTAGTCCAAGAGTTGAAATCATGACAATCCTTGTAGAGCTCCGTATTGCCGCTCTTTCTGCGACCAATCCACATTTTCAGGGGATCATGAAAACCCCAAGATATGATACCTGGCCGATCACCACACGTGTGTCTAAACCTTATGGCTTTGAGATCCGTAACAGTGATTGTGGATTGATTTCCTGGTGCATTCTTGTCAGAACTCCTCATGAATAAGATTTGTCCCTTCTTGGCAGCTTTCTCTTGTTTATCTTGAATGATATCTGAAATATGTGGAGCATGAGCAGGTTCTTCTTTAAAAGGATTTACCACTCGAGAAGTCTGAGCAGTTGGCACTACAATAGGATGAGCTTGAGAGTGAAGGTCGATTCTATGCTCATCTGCGGATGTCTTATAATTATCATCAAAATCGTCTTAAACTTCTTCTTGAGATTAAAGTTACTGGAGGTCAAAAGATTGAAATGATCTTGGAGCTCATAGATTTACCTGAACTTGATTGCTTTGTCTTCATGGAGATCAGAAACTTGAATCTTCAAATTCATATTCTCACTCAAGAGATCTTCAACATGAATGCTTAGCTCAATGTTTTTCTGATCCAGCACACTCACTCTTTTCTGGAGTTCATCGATCACAGAGTCATCTTCTCTTGGCTGACCTTCACTAAAAGCAATTCCTTTGCCCTTAGAAGAAGGTGCAACAACTTGTTCTTGAGCAAGATGTTGGGCCAAACGCACATAAGCTGGATCAAGATCAGTTCTTGGAGGAGAGAATCCTGATGGAATAGAGGAACCACCAGTCTCAAGGAATGTGCTAGGGCCTTCATGAAAAGGTGTTGTAGATACAATAGCTGGAGTGGTAGTTGGAGTTAACGGAAAGCCCTGAGAGAAACTAGAATCCAGATGACCGAACCTAGGAACTCGTCGTCATCTTTTGGACGGAGGCAGCAATGTCTGGTCTGTGAGAAATCACCCTGAAGTGGCTCAGATGTAGGTGAAGCAATGTCAAGGGGAGGAATCCCTGACACTATCACCATTGGAGTTGAAGAGATAACCACTTGTTCTGTAGTAATGGGGGTTGATTCGAGAGCATCTTCTGAATCCCTACTCTTCATTGTCGTGCGAGCAACATCACTGAGATTATCTAGCAGTGAGTTAAGGTTGACGTTTGACAGAAAATCATCATTAGTTCCAAACTTGGTAGGAATCTCATCTCTGTCGAAACCTGTGAGATCGAGGTCTTCAAATTGATTAGGCTCAGTAGTGTTCGTAGAAGACCCTTCATTATAATCTCCTTTAACTTGTACATTTTGTAAGTCATCCTCCTCTGCCACTGACACAGTAGGAGCAATAGTCTCTTCTCCTTCTTGATCCGGCACGGTGATCACATCTCCTTCTGAGATCACCTTTTCCGACGAAGTGTACTCTGATAAAATGTTGTCCGAAGATCCATGTGACTCAGTGGCTTCGTTCGGTTCAGCACATCGTCCGAACTTGACCAATGGATACAACCCCTGAAAGACCACCTTCCCCTTGCGGTTTTGTTTCATGAGCCCAATGGTGTGAGGGCCCAAAGACTACATATCGATTATTTCTCCATCCTTTACCAAATTAGGAAATTGCTTATTGATGAAGAGCTGAACGAACCAAGGGTACATTAGGAAAGTATCCCGAGTAGTAGCATTAATGTAGAGCAAAAACTCATCCAGGATAAACCTAGAAAAGTTGAAGTCAATCCCTGTAGTGAGAGAAACAATAGCGCAAGTGCTTCTCAGGGATATCTTATCAGCACCGGACCTTCTGCCGGAGATGCAGCTCACGAACACGTGGGCTAGAAATCTCCAATAGGGCGGCAAAATTTTCTTCATTGTTGGTGGAGAATCACCCTCGTACCCCATCTTCCTTAATATTCTTTGAGCATCATCAATACCAATCTCCGTGGGAAAGGTCGGAAGGTCGTTGATCAGTAGAGTCTCTCTCACAAAGGTCTCATCGATAACAATCTTGCATCCCTGAACGATTGTATTCATAGTGACAACTCCATTATCATCCCTTGTTATTTTGGTAGTTTGCCAGAATTCCCAAATGGTTTTCTGGTAGATAACCGTATTCATAGTGATGGAAGAGGCCAGACAACATTCTCGTAATCCGTGAATCATCGACTTGAAGTCCCCATGGGCCAACGGGCGATTTGCGAGAACCATAGCCAGGTTATGCATATCTGCAAATTTTAAAGCTACCATTTTATTTTCACTAAAACATCCCAAGTAACACAAGAGAGAAACTTAAACGAATCATGTTTTAATTTTGAGCCCAAAAGTGAATTATTAATTTAAAAATTAAATGACATGATTAGTGGGGAGTTTACGGTCAACGATTGGTTTACGGTCAACGGGAGTTTACGGCCGTAAACTCGTGACCGCAAACCTATTCGCCACAAACTGAGTTTACGGTCGTAAACTACTTACGGCCGTAAGCTTGGGCCGTAAACTCCGACACATCGTTTTTCGTCGATTTTAGGCTCAAAACACGGTTAATCACTGAAAGAAATGCATATTCCTGGTCGAAAATGTGACACCTTC